AGAGGTTGGGATAAAGCTTTGTATGGATCTGAACTTGCGTAAGTAACAATCAAAAAGATAAAGATCATATAGCAGAGGCTCAAGACCACTTAGAGTCGACAGAAAAGCTATACGGATCAGAGAAGAAGAGATTTGGAATATGAAGCGGGCAATCATGTGTTTATTAAGGTCACACCAATGAAAGGGCAAACAAGATTTGACTGGAAAAGAAAATTGGCTCCTCGCTACATCGCACCACTTCAGATTCCAAAAAGGCTTGGCCCCGTTGCTTACCGAATAGCCTTACGATCGGGAGACGATGATGAATGAAGTCCATAACAATTTAAAAGCATGTCTTACAATTTTCAAAGTGAATCATTTTGAAAACAAAGTTTTTGCCATATTTTTACATTTCCAAACATCATATAAAATCAATTTCAAAGCAAACATTTATCGTATCAAAATCCATACTTTTTCCAATGAAACATATATTTAAATCAAACAAAGCATTTTCCATATTGAATCCATTAACAAAACATTATACGTGGTGCATCCAATAGCGCAAAGCAAAGGGTCTAAAGGCGTACATCAAAAGGACCATTAAGGTCAAAAAAGTGACATAAGTCTAAACAAAGGAACCATATAAGTCAAGCAAAGGAACCACTCGGGTCAACATTAGAGATCTTTGTACTTAAATAAGAAAGGGCGTTGGTATTATTTCCCCCCCAGGCAAGGGCGTTATCAACAAAGGGCCATGTTATTGTTTCCTTCAGGCGAAGGCCTTATTAATGAAGGGCGAGGGCCTCACTAAAGGATGCCACAATTACTTTTCAAAAAGGGACATTCTTCCATTCATATAAAATAACATTTCAAAATCTTCATCATGTAACAATTTTGAAAACATATTTCAAACATATCTTTATAGAGATATTACTCACAATGGCCATGAATCGAAAGTAACTCCTCGGATGTCCAACCTACACAAAGCACATAAACGAACACATTGAAACACAATATTATTCTCTTATTTATTTCTTTCTAAATTAATTGAATTCCTACTTCACTTATTCTTCAATTACTTATGTTCAATTTTTATCGTAATTAACTCTTAATTAAATTTTTGCTTTTCTTTCTTAACTAGTTGACTTATGTGGGTTCTTAACTTATTAATCCTCAATGAGTCGTAATTTATGCCTAAGAATGCTTGGGAAGAGATGAGAATGAAAATATGAAAAGATGTAATTTTTCAACACATGGTAAAAAGGCCTGACCGCTTGAGCTACCTGTTGGTCGCTTGAGCAGATTACACTATCTACCAAAAATACTGGATGCCTGTTATGTGCGTTCGAGCGGTGACTATACCACTCGAGTGGTTTGTAAATTTCTAGGCTCCGAAATGTAATAAAAAAGGCATCAAACACATTTTCAAAACTTGAATTCTTGTATGTCTTGATCAAAACTGTGAAAATACTTTAGAAAATATAAATACATGTTTCTTTATAAACCATTTTCTCAAACCCCTTTTTAATTTAACAAGGATTGAACCGAAACTTCCATGCATGTAAAGGATTTGAAACTCTTTTCTTCTTGTTTCTCAAAACATGAACTTGAACTATTAAATTCGTGAAAATAATCCTTCAAATCTTTTAGAAATCCATGATGCATGTGTAATTGAAACTTAAAATTTGTAGGATTAACTGAAGCATGCAAAAATGAAAACAAAATTTATGCAAGACTACCACAAATCAAACCCAAAATAATTAATTTCCAAATTTATTCTATAATCTTAAACCTAACTCAATTTTCTTCATCTTCTTGATAATTTACTTTTAATTACATGAAATTGAACTTAATTACTTCATAATTTCAGCTTTTAGGTGATTTCTACAAGATTCAAGTTTCAATTTCTTACTTAGAGTCTTCAATTTGGTGTATTCTTGACAACTTCTTCACTTCTTCTAGCTTCCTTAGTTTTTCTTCCAAAATTTCTAGCAAGTGAATTCTCTCTCTCTCTCTCTCTCTCTCTCTCTCTCTCTCTCTTCCTCTCTAGAACTTCTTCAGCAAAAACATCCTCTGAAAAAAGAGTCCACTTCTTCACTTGAAACTAGCACAACACACACAGACACCCACTTCATGATTCAACACCATATACACGTGCACATACTCTAAGGCTCCAATACAACAAAATTATAAGACTCTAGTATTAGCTAAGTTACTAATTTATGTATTAACTTAATTAAACCCCACTTAGTCTTAACTAATTATAATTAACACCTAATTAGCACATAATTTAATTAATTATAACTAATTAGATATCACACATAATTTAATTAACCGAATTAACTTTAATTAAGGCCTAATTAATTATATTTAATTTTTACTAATCTGAATTAGATTTTTAATCAAACTCCCAAAAGGCTCCAAATATCAAATTAAATTTATTGCCATCATTAATTTTGGTTTCTCAAATCATTAAAGCCTTCAATTCCAAATCAAACTCAAAATCGCTGTTAATAAATTACATATTCAAATTGAACGCCTCAAAAGTAAATTTAATTCATAGTAATCACAATTGTCAATCCTCATAACTTAATTAACTGCAATTAAGACTCAATTGATCAAATCTTAATTTTACTAAACTGAATCGAATATTTAATTTAACTCCCATATGGTCAAATACTCGAAATTAAATTGATTTAACTCATCAATTTCACTTTCTTAAGCCATTTAGGCTTTCAATTTCTAATTTCAAAATAAATCCTTAATCAAATCATATATGAATCGAACTGAATAGTTCTCACAAATTAAAATTAAATCAGAATAAGGACTAATTAAAATTCACATGTCTTTTATTAATTAAATGCCAAATATTATACGTGATGGGGTCGTCACACTCTCTTCCCCTTAAAAAGTTTGGTCCTCCAAACTTAAGGCACTTGTACCAAAAACCAATCACATTACTTATCTCATTTCATTTTTCTGCTCCCAAGTAGCTTCTTTTCTATTCAAATCTCATCATAGGAGTTCAACTCATTTTCATTTAATGGTTAATAACCCAAATTGTGATTCGTCACAGTTCATATTGTCATCAAAAGCTATTCGGTAATGATCAGTAATATATAGTAGTCGAAGTCAACCTCATAACATTAAACCACGAAACATATTAATCACAACGTACTACTCTCATCAATCATATAACTCATATACTTTTATTTAGCTATTCACATGTCTTCTAATAATTCACATATTTCCAAATAATCCACGTCTCCAAATAGTCGAGGATTAATCACAAATGATATTCATGATCCTACTTAATTTCGAATGAATCAAAGTACTCGTCTATTGACATCCCATATGAAGTCTTCCAAATAAATAAGTATTGACACAACATTAATAACAAATTCAACTTCTCAGTTCACCAATTCCTTTGCAACAATAATTCGGATATTTGTTCTTATACAAGTCATAAGCCGTCAATAGCAAATTAAATAGGGTGGGGATTTACTCCATTGGTTCCACACAAAGAAATAAATAAATAAACTGTTTAATCTTGGAGGTCAGACACAACTCGTTTAGACATATAATCAATGTTTGCTTAGTAGGTAGAAAATCTATTCATACACAACATTACATTCTAGTGATCCATGCCTAAGGCACTAAATCATAGTCATAGTATCGCATTCCCAAATGATATAAATCCTCCGGTTGACGAAGAAACATTTATTACACAATAGCGAACAAATTGGGTTCTGAATCAGTTTATATCTAGACATTTTGCTCAAAAATAGTTTAGGTACTCGAAATAGTGGTCTTGGTACACTGAAGTATTCTCATTCTAATTATCTTAGCAACCTCAGATTAAGTTTCAACTGTCCATACAAATGAATTCTAAATTCTCAAATAGTCGATCAAGCAAATATAAGAATACCAATTCCAACTCAATACTTCTTGCATTTTTTAAACATATTCTTATTGATCTCTTCTACCACAAAATTCCCAAACACATTCTTTGATTCTTTTGTTGATTTCACACTTTGCTTTTTTCTTTTGATCTTATTGTTTCTCATGACACGATTGCTTAAGTTCCACCATATCTTCTAGTTTATCTAATTGCTCCGACAAAAATTCATTTTTCCAGATCATTCTTACTTCTCATCATCTTTTCTAAAAGTCACAAGACAATGGTGGATAACACTTGGGGTAATGTTAGCCAGCTTGAAACATAACATCACATATTCAACCATAAGTCAAACAATTATACAAAGACATCGGTAGGGCAACCTATTCATTCCCATGAAGTTGACCAAGAATTTCTGATTCAGAACTACGTCTGCCAAACGTGATTCCAATTGGACCTTCAAGGTCATTCAACAAAGGTATGAGACTCTATGGTTCAAACATGAGGTCTCTCACCAAATCAACACACCTTCTTCATATCAAACAATTTTCTAACTTTCAATCACCACAGGTCCACACTCTTCATTGATCATCAAATACCTCAACTTCCCAAATATTCCCATAGTCTAATTTGGCATATAACGCATTTAATTTTGTTGGCTTCGAGCGAAGATTTTAATTCCTTATAATACTAGATTCTCACAAATCAATATACTTGTAATCACCAATGTTCTAGTCAAAAATTCTAATTTCCCTATAACGTTAGAAATTCCACAATAGTACTTAGCTTTTAGCCTTAATACTAAACTTAAACAAACACATTCCGATTTCCTTACAATTATCAAAATTCCATAATAGCTCTTAATGCTTAGTCTCAATCCTTAGCCTATTAAACAAACACATATACATTTTTATGAATGCACAACTTATCACTTACTTATTAGATGCATGCAACTTAAATCTATTCTAGACATTCAAATGCTCAATGGATATGTGTGAGAGATATTAATTAGTGTTTTGATACCATTGTCATGACCCAAACTCGCCCCTAAAGGTTTAGGCCACGACCGGCTGTAATTAGGCCTCAAAGACAAAATTCAAAAATATTTAATCAACATCGGGCCTGAAGCGGAAGCAAAACAAAAAGATATTATCCATTGAGCTGTGCATACATGAAGAACCAAAATATTTAAAACATTCAGACACATTTTAATATATGCATATACAAATCTTATACATCTCACACATTACATATAATACTTTTAACAAAACATAAAACTTAGTAAGCTTGATAAAATAAATCTAAAGCCTCAACACAGAGGCACTGCTCGGGTGGCTTGACAAAAGGGGGTGGACTCCAAGTGAAACTCTAATGCAGATCCTTCAATTGCTCACCTACATATATATAAGGGAAAGGGTGAGCTAAAACCCAGTGAGTAATACCAAAATACAGAGGTTAATGAATGAAATCCATAACAATTTAAAAGCATGTCTTACAATTGTCAAAGTGAATCTTATATCATTTTCAAAACAAAGTATTTGCCATATTTTTACATTTCCAAATATCATATAAAATCATTTTCAAAGCGAAAATTTATCGTATCGAAATCCATACCTTTTCAAATGAAACATATATCTGAGTCAAACAAAGCATTTTCCACATTGAATCCATTAACAAAACATTATACGTGGTACATCCAATAGTGCAAAGCAAAGGGCCCGAAGGCATACATCAAAAGGACTATTAAGGTCAGTAAAGGGACCACATGGGTCTAAACAAAGGGACCATCTTGGCCAAGCAAAGGGACCAGTCAGGTCAACATCAGAGATCTTTGTACTCATATAACAAAAGGCCTTGGTATTATTTACCCCAAGTAAGGGCCTTATCAACAAAGGGCCATGGTATTGTTTCCCCCAGGAAAGGGCCTCACTAAAGGATGCCACAATTCTTTCTTAAAAAGGGACTTCATCCATTCATATAAAATAACATTTCAAAATCATCATCATGTAACAATTTTCAAAACATATTTCGAACATATCTGTATAGAGATATTATTCACAGTGGGCGTGACTCAAATGTAACTCCTCGGATGTCCAACCTACACAAAGCACATAAACGAACACATCGAAACACAATATTACCCTGTTATTCATTTCTTTCTAAATAAACCGAATTCCCACTTCACTTATTCTTCAATTACTTATGTTGGGTTTTTATCATAATTAACTCTTAATTAAATTCTTATTTTTCTTTCTTAACCAATTGACTTATGTGGGTTCTTAACTTAGTAATCCTCAAAGAGTCATACTTTATGCCTAAGAATGCTTGGGAAGAGATGAGAATGAAAATATGAAAATGATGTAATTTTTCAAAACATGCTGAAAAGGCCCGACCACTCAAGCTACTTCTTGGTCGCTTGAGTGGACTACACTGTTTGCAAAAATACTAGATGCCTATTATGTGCGCTCAAGTGGTGATTATACCGCTCTAGCGGTCTGTAAATTTTTGGGCTCCGAAATGTAATAAAAAGGGGCATCAAACACATTTCCAAAACTTGAATTCTTGTATGCCTTGAACAAAACCATGAAAATACTTTAGAAAACATAACTATATGCTCCTTTATAAACCATTTGCTCAAACCCCTTTTTAATTTAACAAGGATTGAACCAAAACTTCCATGCATGTAAAGGATTTGAAACTCTTTTCTTCTTCTTTCTCAAAACATGAACTTGAACTATAAAATTCATGAAATTAATCCTTCAAATCTTTTAGAAATCCATGATGCATGTGTTCTTATCAAAGTGAGAGTGGGACTTTAGATGAAATCTCACTCTCTTATGAATTTCTATTCAATCAATGAGTTTGTTTCAAATCTGCAATAGGTAAAAGGTGTTTTGGTCATGCATGTTAAGTTGGATTGGTGGGTTAAGTCTGATGCAGTCTTGGAATTTGGCTGCTAGGAGGTGATGCTTGAGTTGGAATCTCTTCAACTCTCATCTCTTTTCTTGTTTTGTTTCTTTCTTATTTTTTGTTTTGTTTTTGTTTGCTATTGGGCTGCACATGATTGTCCTTGTGTTGGATGTCAACCTACTTAGGATGCCTCACTTTGGCAATGATACAATTCTTCTAAAGGCTTTTTTTTTTTTTTGATAAAAAAATATGTAATATGTTTTTCCATTAATGCGACGATAAACAAACAACTACAACAACATCAGATCTAAGATTCGTAAGTTGTATTGTGGGTGTTGATTTTTGACCTCACAACCAAACATGGAACTTAGTTGGAAAGTACGCGGCAGAATAGATTAAACCAAACACTTGCCAACAAGAAAATGAGAATTCCATGGTGGTTCGTCCACCCGGGGGCACTTCGACGATCAAATCAGTCAACTTATCTCTCAAAGATATCAAACTAGTACTCAGTGTACAAGTAAAAGCCTACCTTAGACCCGCGGGTGTGCCTTACTTTTATAGCAAAAAGTGCCCTTGTCCCCTAGAAGTCTCATTTCATAAGACTCACGCACAATGCTCATCTCAGACTCTTAGTTAGATATGGATGAACTCCTTAAAACCGTTATCCCTATGCAAAATAAGCACATCACTTATCTAGGACTCTTGTCCTTTATCTAAATATCTTGGATTCCGATATTACCACACATGATCTCAGCAATACCATAATCATATCAGCGATCTGGCTCGTTCACGTAGCACCTCAGTTGACGCCTCGATGGCACCTCGGCCGACACTTCAATGGCACCTCGGCCACATGGCATGACCCTAAAAATACATCTCCACAACTACCCCCTAGGTTCTATTACCTTGGCAACCAGAGGTAATGGAATGTATATCATCTGATCCTCCAATATGCTGGCAAATTAACATGCTAGGGATACTCTCCCAATAGAGATCATGATTCGTCGACATCAAGAAACAAGGACTCAAATGTCCACTCGTCAAAAAAATCAAGAATCAAGAACCAAGGATCAAGAACCAACGTGTTCTGAGATCAACATCTTGAGATTGCACTACTAGTCGACATCATGGTGCACTCGTTCAAGAATTCCAAGAATTCCAAATGCGCACAAGTTGTCATGCATAACTTTCCCAACCGTTTATCCATGTGGCACTGCCCCACTGGTTCGTACTCATCACATGTCAGATACGTCGCTTCGTTTCTATTCTATGCCGCCTGACATTTGCATGGGCACGTTTACCTAAGCAGTCTAATCAAGGTTCGGCTGGCATTTTCTCTTTTCAATAAAAAAACTCATTTTGTCTCTTCACTTTTGTAATTACAACTCTCTCTCTTCTACCAGAGCCTCTCTCTCTCTCTCTAGAATCTTCTCAAACCTTCATTGATATCCTTTGAAGCTTTCTACACCTGTTCTTGTTCACCTATCTCTGGTGAGGCATCAACCACATTGCTCTGACAGAAAGCACTATCTGACTTCAGCGAACACATTACCGGTGTCCATTTCCTTATTTCAAACATGTAAGTCCCTCAATCCTTTTGTTTAAGTTTTGATCTGTTTGTCCTTTATATTCTTGAGCATGCCTTCATGTTTTATGTCTGTATATGCCCTTTGCACATCAATTTTCTAGTCTTTGCACACTGGCACTAGATTGCCATGATCATCATCCTCAATTCCTTGTATTTGTTGCACATACGTTAATGCATGCCTTGAATGTGTTCTTTCTCTCTTCGTCTTCTGAATCTATGTTATCTTTTCTTGTTATTCCAAATTATTTCCTTCAATTCTTTGCCTATTTCGGTTGTTTTTACATAGCTTTAGGCTTAGGATTTGCTAGATCACTACTTACTTTAGGAAAATCGAAACTGATTGTACCCAAAACCTTTATTAGATTACCTAAATCACTGTTTTAATGTCCCTTAGGGTTACGCCGAGGTCCCTCTATCACTAGGAAAACACTCACGTATTGAAAATCATATAAAACCCTCTTAACTGAGATCATGGGTATGTTCAAATGGAGAGTAGATTCCCCTAGTAAACTTGAGTATTTTCGCTAGGAATTCAACATCCCAGCTGACGTCCACCTTAGGCTTGCTGAAGAGTACGACTCTATTATGCCCGGGGAGAATTACATGCCCTTCCCTGTGGTATCAATTATTGAGGGTGGAATCAAATTCCCCCTTGACATCCTTTTTCGAGAAGTGTCGCACTTCTATAGACTTAACCCCATGCAGTTGGCGATTAACACTTTTTAGGGTTATCAATGTTATAGCCGAGCTATGCCATTGTTAAAATGCTAAGATCACCCTTGAGGAAGAATGTGTACGGTGAGTGTTACCAGTCCGGTGAAATCTCTTCGGCTGGTTTTGTTATCATTAGAGTGAGTTGTGAGTTTGGGTTATGGTGTTGTTCCAGTGCATCATTTGTTATGGCCATATATTACTCAATTATTAGCTGGAGTGTTACTCTATCCATGCATGTTCTGTCCAGCTTGGGTTTTTAAGATGGGAAGTTCTGATCGTGGTGTGGAACTGTTGCTACCGATTTTCTGTAAAGTTGGTGTGTGTTCTGTGTGTAGTCCATCCATGGCAGCGTTTCGGCACTATGGTGGTGTGGGTGACGTCATACGTTTGTAGCTCCCGTGGAGTTGCAACTGCTGTGTGTGTGTGAGCCGATAGTTGGTCGCTGTTTTTGGCGCTGACTATTCTTGTTTCAGATTGTTGCACCGTCGCTACAGTAGCGTGGTAAGGTCCACCGGCGGGTTTCTGCATGTTTTGTAGTTTGTCGCCGGCCATCTGGTTTACTGTGGAGGTGGGTGTTTTTCTTCTTAGCATCCATGGTGATCGTAACTGATTTCAGAGAGGAGCGTGGGTCAAACGCACTGGCTTGCGTGTATTGTTTAAGCAGGTTGGTGGAGCACGTGGGGGCAGCATATTTCCCGCCCACTCAGGTTCAGTTTTGTTAAATCTTTGGAGTGGTTTTCAATTCTGTGGGCTGGTTTTGCTTTACTATATTTATATATAGTTGGTACTACTTGCTACTGCCTAAAGGTAGGCACGTGGGTTATGTAAGTTACCTATAAGTCTACCTATTAGCCTCAAAAGATGAGATAGACGTCTGGAAATGATGAAGTGCGAAGTATGCTCTGTATGGCACAGAGTTGCGTTTAGTAGATATATTATATATTTATTTATATAATATTTTCTATGCTGCCGAATTTGGTGGGTTTTGAAAATGTGTGGATTCTAGCATGTGGGGCCCATGGCGCAAGTTTGAGAAGAAAGGTGTTGCTGGTTGTGGCCACGTTTTGTTTACAAATTAGTGGGCTGCTTTCATGGTTTGTATGTATCCACGTGGATTGGGCTTGATTTTTGTGGGCCCACGGGTTTCTCCATAACCATTGCGGTATGTGCTTTTGAGGT